TTTTGGTTAGGTCGTGTATATGTGACCCTACTTCCCAAACTATTTTACTTTTTCCGCACCCTTCTCCGTTGTCGTTGCCCGTTTTGCTCTGCGGTCAATGCAAAACCACCTTATGTCTTACTTGGCACAACAGACGTCCTAGGATAGCAGGGAAGACTATGTTTGGTCACCACCGTCAAGGCGGCCTAGGTCCCTGATCTAGTGAAATACTATAATGCCGCCCATATTGCACTCATAGCTATATGCAGTCAGGTCCCCCACCGGACTCTTTTGGAAATTCTGAGCACACCTCACTGCACTGGACTGCATACACAGCGTACAGCATATGGCACAGCATAGAAGACCCAAACATATTGTCTGCCACATACAATGCTGTTTTAACACCTCTCTCTGGGCAAGTTATTAACACCTCCTAGCTTCAATTATGCAAATGCAATCAACACCTGGTTGCGACTAACAGATTATATGGATTGGAGCAACATTCATCATATTTATTCCCAGATAATATTTGTACAAGTCATTCTGAATTGAGAAAGCTGGTTGGATGACCACTGAAACGTCTTCAAGAAAAATACAGCAAGTCCAGTTGCCTTGACTTATTTTTTACAGATATACCATAACCTGGATGAATGAGTACCTTCACAGATATCCGACTACCTGTTTTCGGGGCTGCCCCGTTGTAGGTGACGTTATGCATAACGTCGAAAGCTATGGGACCCTTGGTCCTCTGCTTTTCTTTCTGCCTTAGAGCCAGTGACGCTTAGCCTTATCTGGTAGCCTGGACAGTGAAGCACCCCGGTGGCAGTTACCGCTTCTTCTCTTTTCTAACTCCCTCTCTCGCTACTCCTTTATCCCTGATCTTCATGTTCTCTATTCTTTTTTTCAGACGATAAATAAAGCCAACACCCTAGCAAAAAAAGGCATAACATGAAATTTCAGCAAGAGAATGTATTAGTAAGGAAATTGTAGATTTAATCTTTAATGCCAAAATCCTTACAGTAAATGCATATAATACATACAAAGTACACATATTCCCCTTTCCTAAATGCAAATTTGAACAATCAAATCTATTTGCGTGTAGGGTAAAAGGATAAAACTGCTAAAAATTGTTTGCATCTCAGAAAATAAAAACATTTCTGTAATAAACAAAAGAAAGCTTTTGGTGCCCCTATACCTTTTTTGTATGTTATAGCTATTAGTGGTGAGAATAGGATCATCAAAGGCATGTATACAATAAGCCTACACAGTTCTGCCATTAAAATGTAGAGAAAAGCTTTTGTTAAGATCGGCTTCTTTGGGAATGCCTTTAGTAGAAATACACTTAAACTTTCTTTGAACTTATTTTTTTTAAACTTTGCTGCTTTTTAGAAATGAAAAATGTTACTACAAGGAAAAATTTTCATTTGGTTTTACGTAACTGACTCCTCATCAGTCAACAGCCTGCCTGAGCTGCTTTCTTTGGGTTTGTCTGTCTTGGGAATTTAAAATTGCACTTTGAAGTTGATGTTTTAAAAAACCTACCACTGACAGAGAAGACCGAGGTGCTACAAATTAAAAGTATAATACAAGGTATTCAAAGCATTCATCATGCTTTCTATGCTACTTTTTTTCTGTAGGGGAGCAATAGTTGCAGACTTGTGCTACTTTGCAAAAGAAGTCAGCTCGGTGATGGGCCCCGTTCACACCAAGGTGGCATAGTTTTTGCACATTTGTAAGCGTGGTGATTAAGCATGCTTTTTTTGCACATTGACACGTTTGTGCGAGTGAAAAATGCGCGCACATGAAGACGTGCGTTTTGACTGGCAACTCAAGAAACACTGATGTCAATGGATGAACACTCATACAAACGCCCACGGAAATACGCAACATGCTTCTGCCACACGTTTTCCGCCATTTTCATTGAAGTCTATGGGGGGAAACGAGCTGCAAACTGCCAAAAGAAAGCAGGCATGCTTTTTTTTCTGCTTTTGGCGTTTGGCTGCTCAGGTGTGAACAGGGGCCATGGAAATCATAGGATTTCTTGTGTTGGGCTTTTTAAAGCGCTTTTTCTACTGCTCAAGGATGTTAACCAGGCCTTACACGTTTGTTCTGGAGCCTGGTCACCAGAATGCCTAACGCCCAAAATGCCTTTCAAAGAGCACACAGTACCAAAATGATTAACTGGCATATCTTTCAACATGTGAAAATGTAATGTATGCTTTTTGCACCCATTACCCAGTGCAGTAGTTTGTGAAGCATTCTTCACAGACAGTAGCTGTAGAAGAAAACTTTCATTTCTTGTCAACCTGTTTCATTTGATCTTCATTTCAAATGTCAGTATACAGTACAAGTTATGGAAGTTTTAGCTTACCAGTGCTATTAGCTGAATGTGTAACCTGCTTACAAATGCATATCTGTGACAGATCTTCTTTCCTTTTTTTTATTTTGTATTGGTCTTTATTCTGAATACATATTTTGCAAACTGCATCCTTTAGATTTAAGAGTATGCTCTGCAAGTATTCATTATAATTAAACTGTATTCTCCAGTCAAACCTCTAACTTTCAAGCTCCGATTTAGAGAAGAAAAATGGCAAAAGTATAATTGCAATAAAATAAAATACAGTGATATGACCATCTGCAGCACTAACAGAATTCAGTAATTAAATTGCACTCCAACAGTCAGCAAGCGGTAGCTCCAGATAGGGTGGGGGAAGACAAATATTTGATCATTTTGGCGAGACCGGAGTTGCTCAGTCTTATTCCAAAATGCAAAGGAAAGGGTTCTCAGGAGGGGTGCCAGAAATGTGCAGCCTCTACATCATAACTGAAGCTTAGATTACACCTGTTCATGTATGCATACACTGCAGAGTATGGGTTGAAAGCAAATATTAACTAGGTAAACTAGACTATAAACATTGAATGTTCACAGAGACATAATGGGGAACACTAGAAACGATATACGTAGGTTTAAACTTTAGAAGGTGTAATCTAATGTATTTTGTCTAATGCAAACACACAGCAATGCATAAGTAGAACATACAACAAATACAGCTCTACCTCCTTGAAACTATGTTCCTGCCCATTGCAAGTTCTAACTATGCCATGCTACGTAGATATAGGAATGCACACTTGGATAAAAAATACATGCTACTATATTATCTCATTATTTTAATATAAACATTTTTTTGTATTTAAAAAAAGAAAAATAAATAGTTCCGCTATACAGAATTTGCTTTTATTTTCTGTTGGGATTTGAATTATTCCAATAGAAAGGTAATACAAAAAAATGTATAGGTTTACATGAAGTGTAACTGCAGTTGAACTTACAGTAAAGCCTCCCTGTAGGAGCACAGAATATAAATTCTCCTTATGATTAAGAGGAAAGTGCAGAGCACATACGTGGGTCTTACAGAGGATTTTTACAAGCAGCAGTGCCACCTCGGTGGCAATATCTCGCTGGATCTCTGACAGGAGAGAATAAGACTGGAGAGAATGTAACTGCAGTTACATTTTTAAGTATTTGCCTACAAAACACATACACACAGAAAGAAAGAAAAATGTTTACATTATATGGCAATAAGTTTGTGGACACTTAAGTTTGTTCGACATTTCCAAAATCATTAGCATTAATAGGAATTTGCACAGTTCCCCATGCTTCCTCCTTTTTTATGCTATGCATTCTTCTGTGAAGGCTTTTCACAAGATTGTGGAGTGTATCTGTAGCAATGTGCGCCTATTCAGCCAAAAGAACATTGGTGATGTCAGATACCATTGCTAGATAAGAAGACCTGGCTTGCAATTGCCATTCCAATTAATCTCAAAGGCATTAAATTGGCTTAAGGCCTTTATGAACCTAGCTTTATGCACAGTGGCACAGTAATGCATAAACAGAAAATGGCTTTCCCCAAACTGTAGCCACAAGGTTGTAGGCCCACAATTATCAATAATTTATTTGTACTGTATGCTGTAGCATTAACAGTACTCTTCAACGGAAACACTTGAACTCAGTCATTTGGAAGGGTATCCACTTACCTTTGGCTACATACTGTTAGTTTTTCTATACTGCCCAAGAGCAGCATTAACAAACAGAAAATGATTCATCTGGAAAGTAAAGGGAATATAAAAAACTGCTTTTCTAGGAGTGTACTAAAACACGAAACTAGCATCATATATGTTTTATGTTTTTGGACACATCCTAAAGCATAAAACTGGCATTACAGGAGGTGTGCATAAAGACTTGTAAGTAAAATGATCAAATGTTGATTTACATAACCCAATATTTTAATGGGTCAGAGTCTGTCATTCTTTTTTAGTTCTGACTATGCACCACCAGAAATTTTGGCCTGGGCAGACCGTAAACTTTGATTTCCTTTCACATAAATATCCAAGTGCTACCTTCACAACTACTATGGTAGTATAACCAGAAGTAATGGTTTTCATGTTAACTGGCTTCTGATATACACATACATTTGAAAATGGCATTAATGTTTTAAATTAACTATCCTGTTAAATCCATTATGTCAATTCATTTCAATACTGCTGCAATTTGGTTTCGGCTATGTAGCATGACATATAGTTTAGCACCTACAAAATGTAATTCATCAACACAGGGCAGGAACAGTTTTGTATTCTGAACATGCAACTACTGTAACACCACAGAACTTTAAGATTTGAACTACAGAACAAAATTTTAAAAAAAAACAAATAAGGTTACATAAAAATGTTTAAAAAAAATCATGCAAATATAATTACATTCTCCAGTCATGCATCAGACTTACTGCCCAAGCACCCAATAACTAACTATGACAACGAAAAGTGCAAAAACCCAGCAACATTACCAAAGGATGCATAGAGAGGTCTCACAATGCAATATCATCTCAATCCCCAAAGCCCATGGACAGAAGCACTGCCCTTCATTGAAATAATTTGTTTTTTATTTCTTTTTAAGTATGTAAAAATGTGGGTAAAGAACGTAAAAGAAGAAAATAAAACAAAACAAAACAAAACAAAAACACACCAACCTTCTCGTAGCTCTGAGGGATGTTAAGGGGTTTGATGCAGAACACAATGACATGAGGAGAAGAGAAAAAATAGGGGAGACACAGAGAGAGTAAAAAAAGACCTTCTCCAGGCTTTCAGCTGCAAAGCGACTATTCCATCAATATATATATATGTATATATATATATGTAAATTAAAACCAGCAACAAATATATTTACTTCTTATCTTCTGAATGGTTAGATCTTTCCACTCACATTTTTAAATCATCTTTTTAGCACATGTTAGACTGGACACATATACAACTATAATATTCAATGAATTTTTTCGCTCAGTGTATAACTCTCGTTGTTTAAGGGTAGGCCCAATTTTGTCATGGCCATTGCTCACACCAATGTTGTTTTCAACCACAATATCAAAGATTATAAAGATCTCCACGATATTGATTCATAATGTATTTAAGTATGCAGCATAAAAATACATACTCCTCAACTGTACTAAAGTAAAATAAGATCAAGTATTCAAAAATATTAAGGTGTTATTGTGTAGTATTATTTATAACCACCAAAAACGTTTGTCAGACATATCTGAAGATTATTACATAATTTTTCTCCTAAACCTGACTTTAAATATTTCCAACATAATAATTGCAGCCAACTGTGTGGCAATCACCCAATATTTAAAATATGTTATCTATACATTTCATTCTCAATACACAAAATAACTTGTTTATGTGAGGAAATTCTCAGGTTTTTTTCTGTTATGCATTCACTATACATGTAACTTGTCAGAAGTGAATAAGTGGTCGGAATCTCCTCTGCTGGGTTTTACTGAACCCCCCCCAATATCTAAAAATGTTCTATATGTCTATTCTAGTTCCTTCACATTCCTTAAAAAATGGCTTTTGTAATAATGAAGTATCACTTAAAGCATGTAATTAATACACTTTTTTTTGGTGTGTGTTTGGGGGGAGGGAGGGGGTGTAGGCTGCCATGTAACTACCTTTAATAACAGAACCTAGCAATGTACATAGTATGCTATATGTCTGCAGTGTGGTTGACGATTATGACTAACCTGTTCAGAATCGTATTTTTTTAATGAACTATGCAATATATACTGACAAACCACTTTCTTAAACATTAAATAATTAGAGTTAAAGCCAGTATTGGAGATATGAGGAAAGATAGCAGGTACAGCCTGCAGAATGTTCATATTACCAGCGTGCAGAGCTCAGCTGCTCCCTACCTCTCACATAAAGATTAGCAGGTGAAGAGTAACGAACACCAGCACTGTTGGTTGCAACACACTCGTACTTCCCCTGATCAGTCTCCTCACTGTTTTCAATTTGTAAGGCACCTAAAGAAGAAAAAAAAAAACAAACAAAAAAAAAACAAGGCAACACAAGTTAATATAAATACGAAAATATTTTTCCTATGGTACTAAAACCCTATGGTAACACACAAGGAGCCTCTGGTATACCTACTAGTTAAATACAATATTATATTTAGTAACCAGCAATCGTTGATCCTAGTCAGAATGCAACATACCGTTAAAACAGTTAACATATAAACCGTGCTTGGACTTAAAACCATGGCATATGCATTGCTTAAGAGGAAGCTAATAGTGATTTCAATTTTCTGTAATTACAGTTTAGGCATCACAGCATCTTGCAGAAATGTGACATAAATACCACTGATTGATACCTTTGTTATAAAATGTTCAAATATCAAAAAATAGAACCATGTAGAAAATATGTTCAGAATAAGTAAAATTGTGATTGTCATGTTGTGCTAAAAAGAACTTCATATGGTGTAAAGAAGGGGTAATATAGAGCCACTAAATCTAAAACATGTGTACCTATTTAAATAACTTAGTCAGGTGTGTGTTATAATATACATTGAACTGTGATCTGGTTTTCACAGAAGTCATAATTATTAACAACTGTGCTTTCTAACAATTAGCACAATTTTTTAATTTGGCATTCCTTCACAAACGAAATATTTTAAAAATCAATGGAAGGAAAAGGAAAAAGAATATGAACTTTTACATTTACCAGCAAGAGAAGCCTCTTTTAATTGGCAATAAAATCAAGCAAATGCTTTCTGGGAATACTGATTCAACCAAACACCACTGTACTTCAATGGAACTGGGGTCAGGAACTGTTTATTCTGCTTTAGCCACTGTTTTATATCTTTGTGCTGAATGACTCAACTTTAAATCACAAACAAAATGTCCTTGCATTTTACTACAGATTTTTTTTTCATATAGTATGGCATTCTTGGTGCCTTGATGATGAGGAGTACAGTTTGTTACAAACCGGCAGTCAAGTAGCCATTATAACTGCACTACTTCACCTTTTGGCTCATATTCCCACAGAATCTTGCATAAAGTGTTATTTGTGTTGTCTATGAAGATTCTTATTCATCCAGGTCATGGTAGATCTATAAAACATAAATCAAAGCAGCTGGACTTGCTGTATTTTTTCTTAAACATGTTTCGCTGGTCATCCGACTAGCTTTCACACTTCAGAATAACTTGTACAAAGATTCTCTGGGAGTAAATATGGTGAATGAATGTTGCTCCAATCAACATAATCTGTATATCATAACCAGCATGCGGTCAGAGACCTTATGGAGGTAAGGTGTTGATTGCATTTGCATGATTGGTGCTTGCAGGTGTTATTCAGCTGCCCAGAGGGAGGTGCTAAAAGAATATTGTATGCGGCACTCAATACATGCCAACAGAAAACCAACTCACATGGACCAGTACCTGCTATTTGACTCTCACCATTCTCTAGATCACAAACTAGGAATCATCAGGGCTCTACACTACTGAGCAGAGAAAATCCTTAACAGCACATAGACCAGGGCAAAGAAATTTAAACACTTCAGAGGTGCCCTTAAAACTTGTGGGTATCCAGACTGGGACTGTCAGAAAAGAAAGGTGGAGAGAAAAGAACACCAAAACAACCAGTGAGGGAGAAAAGCTTGACAAATGAAAAAAATATGGTCATCCCATTTGTAGCTGGGGTGTCTGAAAAACTCTGAAGCATTTTTAATAAACATTGCATCCCTGTCTGCTTTAAACCCAGCACCACACTGAGGCAATAAATGGTTCCCCCGAAAGGCCCAGTGCCTAACACAAGATGAACACAATTGTGTAAGCAGTCCAGTGTAGTGAGGAGTGCTCAGAATTGTAGGTCGGTGAAAAGAAACAGCAATTACACCAGCGTATGGCACAGCATAGAAGAGCAAAACCCTCTGGTCAGGATTCAGCTGCATATCTATATCTGAAGGAAAAAGTTCACTCCTTTGAAGACAGTGAAGTACACATCCTAGACACAAGGAGGAGTGGTTCAAATAATATATAATATTTTAGATTTAGTGGCTCTATAAAATAGTGTTATATAATTAAGTTCTTTAAGGAATGTCTTAGAACAGCAATACTTACCAAGCTCTGCATAATAGGTACAATGTCTGCACACTGTAAGTAGACTATAATTCTGCCAACTGCTAAACCAAAAGAAGCACAATGGCAATGTACTTACAGAAAATATAACCTATACTGAAGAACAAGGAGAGAACAATGTAAGAAGGGCCCCAAAAAAAAAATAAGATAAATAGCTAGACAAGGAGAAAGAGGATTTCAATAGCTTAAAAAGGAGGTTTGCTATATGGTGAGTTATGAAATGCCTTACCTCGAATTGGTGTATTTTCTGCAATGAAAGCAAAGAAGAAGAGTGACAATGGTGAGGAATTATGTTTAGATTACCAGGCATAGAGCCAAAAAAAAAAAAAAAGGGCCCGTATCCAGGAAGGAATTCTGGTAATGATCCACAAACATTTTTTGCCTCACGGTAAGAATTTTACTAAATGGAATATTACAAAAAACCCTACAGGGAACCCATAAACTACATATATTTAAGGAAGCCAATTTGTATGGGCTGGCAAAGCAAACCGATTAAAGAAGAACTCCAGTTGAAGCTAGACTACAATAAAGGAGCTGTTACAATAACAAATTATAACGGTGTTCCAATTTATGTCTCTGGAAGGCAAATTAGCAGCCCTATCAACATCCTGACCATTTTATTTTGTCCATATTATTTGTATCACTAACAGTAGCTCTGTTTGTAGCTTTTTATTATGATTAGACAGGATTTATATAACGCCAACAGTTTATGCAGCGCTTTAGAATATAAGGAAGACTTTACAATCATAATATACCGTATATATTATATAGGAGGTTTTAAAAGGCACTGAACATTATCATTATGCCTGCTACAAATAACAAATGAATGTGTAACACAATTCAAGCTCTAACAGATCAGCTCAGTTACTAAAACTGCTCTTAAACCTCATTGTACAGCTTAAGAACTGCTGGGGATACTGTATTCTCAAAACAAAGAATCTGGAACAGTTATTTTTGATAATGTAATAAACACACAAAGCAGCAGTGGATAAATGAAAAATGGTGCTATTTTTTTAAACAATTAGAATGGTATGCTGCAATTTCAGATAAAACCAGTACATACTGCAGTTCTTCTTTAAGGGAGATAGGGGGTATATATGAGGTATAAAGATAAAGGACTGACATAGGGTACAACTGAATATAATGGCACGGTTGGTCAAAATTGTTATACAATTAAGAAGATACCTGCCATCACATGAAAGTGGTATGTGTACTTTAATACTGAGAAGTTTTTAAACAATATGTATATTCTCTTGGCCACACTTTAAAAACTATGGACAGAATAACTGAACCATAAGGTGCAATGAACAGATGTAAGAGAAAGTGATCCTGGGACTGATTTCATATGGTGGAAAGTTTGGTAAAAGTAAACCTGTGTAAAAGTGTTTTTCTAAATCCACCTGCATACCACTAGATGTTTGAAGTGCACGCAGGTTCACAATACCGAACTTTACACTAAAGTAAAAAGGGCCCTTGATCCCATCACCACACCTCACACAATCAGTCTCGGTCACAATTTGTGACTGGGATCTGATAAGACCTGGAAGCAGTCATTTTGCGGACTATCTAGTAGTTTTCTTTAAATATTAAACTACAAATTTGCATTGATAGCAATTTGCTGCAATGGGGATTTTTATTCCCACTATCCCATCGTCGTTTACAGTTTAATTCAAACAGTTTTATTTAGGTGATATAGTATTTTTCCCGTAAGTCTGCCATATATGTAGCATAATATCTTTTTGCTCATTAACTTTCTACTTTGTATGTCGACTTCAATGTATAAATTACTCTGCTCAAGATAAACAACATGGGTCCAGAAACAGATTTTAAATTTATGGAATAGTTCTCAAAATCTAGGACAGCTATTTGCTTTGTAACATGCAGTTGCCATCCATTAAAAAAAACTATTAAAATCTGTACTACTTTTGATAAAATTACTTAAAAACTTTTTTCAAAAGAATATATAGTGGCTGTGAACCAAATTTGTTAAAATATCTCAGTAGGCACCAATGTGTCATCACAACAGTGATACATCATTTCTATGATGACTCTTTAGGAAGTAACAGACAACAGAAGCTGCAAAGCAAGCTATCTGCACCACACTAACATAGTACTCTGGAAATCTTTTATTATGTGATAAATGGTAATGTTTATTTATAAGCTCAAAGAGTGTGTATATATATGTATATA